CGCTCCGGGACCTCCTTGTCGACTGCGGGATCGGTAGCGAAGGGCAAGAGTCGTCGGACCCGCTGTACACGCCCATCAAGCCGCACCGGGCGCTCGTGTTCTGCCAGATGAAGGAGATGCTCGACATGGTGCAAAACACGGTGCTCAAGAGCATGCTCCCGTCGGTGCAGTACCTGCGGCTGGACGGGTCCGTGGAGGCGAACCGGCGGCAGGACATTGTCAACAAGTTCAACAGCGACCCGTCGTACGACGTGCTGCTCCTGACGACGAGCGTGGGCGGGCTGGGGCTGAACCTCACGGGGGCCGACACGGTCATCTTTGTGGAGCACGACTGGAACCCGCAGCGGGACCTGCAGGCCATGGACCGGGCGCACCGGATCGGGCAGAAGAAGGTGGTCAACGTGTACCGGCTCATCACGCGCGGCACGCTCGAGGAGAAGATCCTCAGCCTGCAGCGCTTCAAGATTGACGTGGCCAGCACCGTGGTGAACCAGCAGAACGCCGGGCTGGCTACCATGGACACGGACCAGATCCTGGACCTGTTCAACCTCGGCGAGTCGGGCCCGAGCCTCATCTCAGACGGCGGCAGCAAGGCCGCCAAGGAGAACCTTGAGGGCCGCGAGGAGGACATGGTGGACATCGAGACGGGCGACGTCAGGCAGCCGGGTAAGAAGGCAGCTTGGCTCGAGGGCCTGGGCGAGCTGTGGGATAATACGCAGTACGAGGAGAGCTTTGATCTGGATGGGTTCTTGAAGACGATGCAGTAGAATGGAGAGAGAGAGTCTTGGGATTTGTTTTTGTGGGAGCGGGCTAGGATATCGGGGTTTGGTAGGGGTTATGGAACGGCGCTGAGGGTTTAGGGGGATGATCCAATGGGAAGGGCGTTTGGGGTGAGCGTACCTAAACTTGGAGGAGTTATGGATGCGACTGTTAGTTGGATTGTATCCGTGTAGGCTAGTGGGCATAGCACGCGATGTTTCGTGTGTAGATTTACTGGGCAAGTGTCGCAGTGAGAGAGACCTGAGGGCGAAGCCATCAACAAGTTACGACCTCTACAAGTTACCTGCCCCTTTTCTTTGCTGATGCTTGGAATGACTCCACATGGGTTTAGCGCATATTTTAGCGCACGATTATCCCCCGCAATCCAAGAAGACGCCCCCCTGCTTTGGTGACGTTGGGCCTGGGCGTGACGTCAAGCTCGAACATGAGTTCAGACAGGGCACGCGAGCGGCTTCGAAATGAGGACTACTTGATATCACAGCAAGTCGGTCTCTACTTGCAAGTGTTGAAGAGACGCAGAATTCAACGATTAACCCTACAAAGTTGCTAATTAGAAAGCATTATCCCGCCCATCCTCTTTGTGTGGTTTCAGCGTTGAAGATCGAAGCGGGTTTGTACTTGACATTTGTCTGGTAAGTACATAGCAACACCAGCCTATTTTTGATGCGTAATTCGGGAATTCGCTTACACCACGATTGCAGTTAGATACTCACATACGCTCTCTTTAGTTCCCAGCCCGTGTTTTCCTAGAGCTTTCAAGCTTTGCCAACTATCCTCGGTTGGATCCTGAATGACGCGTCCTCCAAGATTAGCCCCTGCTGCGCCAACTTGAACTCTGCAAAACCAGGCACCGAACCCAACACAAGGAACACCAACAAAAGCGACCTACCTGAAACCTCGATCTCTTATATTTTGCTATACGGACAACCGATAGCTCAGCACAGCCATCATAATTAGTACGAACCCGATTCCTCTCCTCCACACCACCACGGCATCCTCAACAACAGCACATATCCAACGCCCTCCTCTTCCACTGAAAAAAGAAGGAAAAATAAAGGACGAGAGAGAAAAACAAAGATGGCCCACTACGCCCCCTTCAAATCCCTCTCCCCAGTGACCTGGGCCACCGACATCGCCCCGCGCGACCCGTCCTCCCTCGCCGACCTGCTCACCACAACCCTAAGCGAAGCCCAACTCCTCATCGACTCGATCCCGACTCCCACGCCAGCCCCTCCCTCATCGAACACGCACACCCCCAACAGCAGCGGACGGGCAAGGTCTCACACCGACTCGGCCGTCCAGCCCCCTTCCTCTTCCGGGGGCGTTGGAAAAAGTGGAGAAGGAGAAGGGGAGAACAAAGAGCTCTCCAGTGGGAAAGGAGAGGACCGGAACACAGCCGAGCAGCAGCAGCAGGACAGGGAGGCGACGGTGCGTAAGCTGCAGCGCGAGTGGAAGGACCTCAAGGTGGCGCAGGGCGACAAGAACGGGAACCCGCACGGCATCGCCATGTACAAGATGGCGGCCCGGGACGGCCGGTACGCGTGGTTTGCCCGCCGGAGCCTGCACCGGCCTGAGGGCGGCGGCGGGCTCGGCGGGCTGGGCGGGTTCGACAAGTGGGAGGCGGCGCTGCGGGGGGAGATGCAAGCTACGCTTGACAAGGTGGCGGCGACGCCTGGGATGGAGCCCGGGATGGGGAATATACGGGGGATTGGGGCTGAGAGGAGGGTTGAGACGGTTGAGTGTGATGCGGGGACGGTGGATGGTGAGTCCTTTTCTTTCCTTGTTTTTTTTTATGTGTGTTTTGGTTGAATGATTGAGCTTTGCTGTTGTGATGTGGGAGATGTTGCTGACACTGCGCTGCTAGTGTATCATGTCTCGGCGAGGTTTCCCGGTCCTACGGCCCCCAGGGATTTTGTCCCGCTGATTATGATGCCCAAGGGGGGCGAGGAGAAGAAGGATGGGCCAACACGGACGCCGAGACAGTTCACGATTGTCTCGAGGCCATGCGAACACCCCGACTGTCCGCCTAGGTCGGGGTTTATACGAGGCACTTACGAGTCGGTCGAGATCATTCGCGAGGTGCCCGTCGCCAAGCCGCTGCGCAAGGTCAGATCATCGATCGATCTGAACAGAGACGATTTAAAGGGGGGTTTGGACGGTGAGCGCATCGGCAAGGAGGCGGTGTTGCGGGCTGCGAAGCGCGCGGCGGGCGATGAAATCGAGTCGGAGGGCGAGGGTAGGACTGTGTCGCCTCAGCAGGCCGATGGCGGTGACCTGGAGGACACAGAGATGGCAATCGAGTGGCTGATGGTTACTCGTAGTGACCCGGGCGGCAGCGTTCCTCGGTTCATGGTGGAGAAGGGGACGCCGGGAGGGATCATCAACGACGCGGGCAAGTTTATCAAGTGGCTTTCTGCCCAGAGGATGGACGATCTCACGAAACCAAGCCCGTCTCCTTCGGATCGACAGGCAACGAAGACGACTGGGGAGTCACCGGTCCAAGAACAGCCTGGCCAACTCCCGGTGGCCACTTCGGTCGAAGACCACCTTCCAAACGGAGAGGCTGAGCCGCAGGAGGAGCCATCCGCCGGTAACAGTGCAAACAGCAGCGGAATCTACGGTATGTTCAGCAGTGCTCTAGACATGGCTACCTCCGCAGTTGCCAGCAGGGTAGCTGCGTTCGCCCCCAGGCAGACCGACTCAGACAGCAGCGACGACGAGAGCGACATATCAGACGCCAGCTACCTCTCGGCGGCTGAAGAGGGCACCCAGCCAGAGTCTACGGTCCCAGACCACAACAATACTGTCGAGACAGCCTCAGCAACCGACAAGGCCTCAACCCACTCGACACCGTCAACCGTGTCGGAACACGACGCCCAACCACCCTTATCGCAGACCCCGTCAGCAACCTTCCTGCAAGCCAAGTCGCAGCACGAGAAAGAACTGGGCAAGCTCCAAAGCCGCATGCGCAAAGCCCAAGAGAAACTCGAGCGCGCCCAAGCCCGCCAACAAGCCAAGAACAACAACAATGGCTCTGCCGCTGCCAGCAACGGCGACTTGGCCTCGGACGAAGCCAGAGAGAAACAGAAAGAGAAGGACGACCAGGCCCTGGCCAAGCTGCGCGAGAAGCACGAGAAGGAGATAGCGAAGCAAGAAGACAAGTTCCGGCGCGAGACGCAGCGCCTGGCCGACAAGCGGGCGGCCGAGGAGCGCAAGGCCGAGGCGCGGCGCAAGAAGGCGGCCGAGCGCGAGGAGCGCGGCAACTTGGCCATGGAGCTGCAGCGCGCCAGGGCGGAGCGGGACGTGGCGCGCAAGGAGGTTGACATGCTGCGCGAGCGCGTCGGTGAGTTGCAGGGGCAGTGCACCATGCTCGTTGCACGGCTGGGCAAGGAGGGGATCGATGTCGGGGCGCTGAAGAAGGATGTTGGGATATAAGGGTGTGGGGGAGATTTGTTGCTGGAGCGGAGGATCCCCGACACCATACTTCAACAGCCATCTATACGCTTGTTTCCCAGCGATCAAGACAGCTTTGTACGATATATTGACAAGAAGTTCATACCCGTTTTCAACAGGCTCGACTAAGGCGACACTAGAACTCAAATCAACAAGCAAAGGAGGTAGCTTACTACTACACCAAGAACAAGCACATCTGTCTTACACTCCCACATAACGTATATTATCAATGAGTGGCCCATATCAGTATCACGGGAGTAATAGGCAGCTCAACCTTGCGGGTGGTATTGCAATGCAATAGTTGCGCGAGGTACCTAGAACTCTGCGCAGGCTGTGGGAAGACCCTGCAGGGCAGGGCTTGCGCACATACCATGCCACCATGTGTGGGTCCCACCAGTGGGTGGGAGCCACGGCCTGGGCTCGGACTATCTGCTGACTAGCCACAGGTCACGGGATCTATCCCGTGACAATCAGTGAGTGGCCCATATCAGCGAGTGGCCCATATCAATGAGTGGCCCAGCTTAATAAGTTTAGCAGGGCTGCACTCTAAAATTCGGTAAAATATTGTTAACAGCAATAACATTTTCTTATCATGCATTTCATTGCAGCCTTACTCAAAACTGTTAAGGTGGGCCACTCACTGATATGGGTCACTCACTGATAATATACGTTATTGTCCTTTAGCGTTATCTCACTGTGGTCTCCCAACCATCGAGGTGCAAAAACAGACAAAAAATAACACATATTTTATCATATATAGTTGTTAATGGACGGGCTGGGAATCGAACCCAGGACCTTTCGCATACACTGATGCATGCTAAGCGAACGCTCTACCAACTGAGCCACACGCCCTTTAACTGGCTAGAGGCCAGAGTGGATGGGGTCTCAACTTCAGTCTGCAACATTATGTCGTCCGTCTGTGTTGCTGGTTCATGGGAAAAGACTGGTAGCGAAGGGCTGGGAACAGGAACAGACAATAACGTGGTACCACGTGTTAACATCGGGACTGAACGAGAACAACCCGGGTCATTGTCACGTTTTCGTACACCAAACCAGGGTGGTGGGTGACTCCTGGATAACGACGTGCTACTCGATCGTAGACGCTTTCCAGGTCTATCCAGCTTTTACGCTATTCGGGCAGCGTGGGTCGACGCAGTCCCGAAACTTCTGTACTCCTTTTCACCTCAACTTTCCTCCCAATGTCATTTTCACAAGGTTTTCATCCGCTGCCATACCCCTCCGCAACCAGTTCATCCCCTGCTGCGATACACAACAGCAGCCCAAGCTCAACATCGTTCTCCATTTCCTTGCCGCTCTTGTACTGCCCAGCTCCCCAATACTCAAGCCCTTTTCCATTACCTCAACATCCGCACCAGGCCCAACCTCGTTGCAAAGCCAAGATTGACAAAAAACCAAAGGCCATACATGCCCTACCGAGAACCTCGCTCCCCTCCATTCCCCTTCCTCCCCGCAGCACTCCCATCCACCACAACCGGCGCCGCTCTCTTCTTCCACCGCCCTCCGCTCCCATCTACAACCACAGGTCGCTGCTCCTTCTTGCCCGACTCCTGGATGCAGATATCTTCCCTACCCGCAGCATCCAGCGAGCCGCCACCAGAACCCGACGGCCCAGCAGAACCAAAACCTCCCACCGACGACCGACCCCCCTCAGAGTGCGACGCCTTCGACGACAACCGGCCAGCGTCCCCCCTCAAGTTCACCATTGCCGCCCCCGCACCCAAAGCAGAAGAGGAAGAAGAAGAAGAACCCCTGCCCTGCCCTCGCCGCCCATGCCGGCCACCCCCTCCCCCACCACCACCTCCAGACCCCCCCGCCAAACCCGCACCCCCCTCCTCAAGCACACGCGCCGCCAACTTCCTCCCGCCCACCACGCGCCCGTCGAGAGCCGCCACGGCCGCCGCGGCGGGCCCCGCCGCACTGAACGTGACAAAAGCCCTCGGCCTCCCGCTGCTGTTGGCAGAGAGCTCGATGCGCTCGACCTGGCCTGCCGTTGCTGCTGCTGCTGCTGCTGCTGCTGTTGTTGTTGTTGTTGTTGTTGTTGTGGACTTGAGCTGGGCGATATGGGACATGACGACGGCCTCGGAGAGGTTTTCGCGGTCGAGGTTGTGGATGACGATCTTGCGCTGTTGTTGGTCCGTCGTGGTGGTGGTGGTGGTGGCGGGGGGCGGATGTTCTTTGGGGATGTGAGATAAAGAGGAGGTGGTGGTGGTGATCTGTTCTGGCTGTGGTGGCGCCGAGGTAGCTGCGTCGGGCAGCCAGGGTGAGTAGTAGCCTGCTTCCTCGGCAGGCCGCTGGTAATATCCGGCATAACCTTGTCCTTCCAGAGCGTACGTGGCCCCTTGTTGGAAGTATGAAGCGGGGGCATCGTACCGTGTAGACGCGGGATGGGCCATGACGGACAGGGGGCTTGAAGCCGTCTGGTACATGACAGACGGGGTGCTCGCGGGGAGAGGACCAGTCGCCACGGGCTGGATGAAGCCATGGTTTGGGGGAGCCATGGCCTGGTATGCCATGGGGTTAGGGGACATGAGGGCTGCGCTGGGCATCGCCGACTGGTAGTCTTCGCCGGGGACGTACGAAGAAGCCATAACGTAACGCCACTGCATGGCTGCCTGCGACGCTGCGTTGAACGCCGAGCTGGCGCTCCCCTGGTAATCCGAGTAAGGACTCCCCATTCCTGCACCAGCTCCCTGGTGAAATGGCTTGGGAAGAGCGTTGGGGTCTAGGACCGGAGAGTCGGGCTCATCAACCACCCTCACACTGCCACCTCGACGGATCCTCTCCGCATGGTAGTCGCCTGGAGGGAGCTTGACGACAGTCGGCTGATTCATGTTCCTTCCATCCGCTTGGAGGGCGCGGTACTCGAGCGTGTTGCCATCGAGATACCCTGCCGGGGATTGTTAGGGCAGGACAAGCGCAAGGTTGATGAAGATAGGGGTGGCGTACGGATTGCCTTCTCAAAATTGACCTGGCCCTTTACCCGGACGAATCCAGATGTCGGAGGGTACACCTCAGCATGATCCACCTCGCAGGCTTGCGACGCAAAGGCTTTGAGATCCCTCCAAGTCGTCCGATGGGCGAGCTAGATACTCCTCGTCAGTCACACTTCGCGGGAACAGCTGGACTGGGGGATCCCACGTACGTTGGCAACCAAAATGTAGTAAAGTCCGGTCTCGGTTCCCGGCTCTACCGTGTAGGTCTCCAGGTGTCGATTGTGCTGGTGGTGACGATGCATCCTGGGCTCAGGTAGTCAAGGGATGGGGTCTGTCGAACCGCCGGGGGTGTAGGTCCAAATAGTGCCTCGACCAGTTCAAGAGACACAGTGCTGGCGCGTTCGCCTTGTAGAATGAATCGCTGCGTGATGCGCTGAACAGACTGGCACGCCATCAACGGCGCGGCCAGACTTCCCGGCCCGGTAGGCCTGTTAGTAGGAAGCCGAAGTCAGTGCCTGGTGTGTCGGGATAGATCCAATGTTGCAGTCACAGATCCACCGCCAGATGGCGCGGTTGAAGTTGGTCGACTAGCTCCAGACTTCCCAGGGGCCTTCGGAGGTGGCACTAAAAAGCACCAGGCCACAAGTAGCCGGTGCCGAACCAGCTCTGCTGTGGCAAGGGAATGACGAGCCTAGAACCAAAAGTACCCAGTTATGCAGAGCTCAGAAGCAGTACTGAGATCAGCTTTAAGAGAGTCCCAGTAACTTAGGCAAATGCCTTTTCCAGCCAGCCATCGATTGCCCCCCATACCCATTCTCGGGGAGACACAGCAAGCCGCAGTATGCCGGGACTGGCGACTTGTCACATTTGGCAGTGAGCTGGGTCCTCGAGTCCCAAAACACACAATGCCGAACTGGGGCTGGACCGGTCAGCCATTTGCTCCTCCTGTCGAGGCTACTGAAGCCACGCCCTGGCGGCCCTTCCCGGCCCCGATGTGGATCAAACGGGACGGCGAAAATGGCTGGGCACCAACTAGACCGGTACATGCCGTTACTAAGGACGCCAGGCATGGTGTCGACAACCCAAAACCAGAAGAGCAATGCCCTGAGGAGTCGCAAAGAGGAAGCTTGTTGGCTGTGATGAGTTTCAGGTGGCGTCGAAGTCTCCCCGCCCGAGCCCCCTGGCCAGTCCAATCAGTACATAGGGTGGACTTGAGCGCGGGTCCGGAAACGGGGGCCCGAATGCTTCGTGCCAACAATGGTAACTAACTATCTTGCTTCTGCGAGGAAGAAGACGGTTATGAGGAAGGTTGAATACCGAATGTGTGAAAGACTCGGGGGGCGCCAGACCAGGGGCACCCCATGATCAGCCCTGCGGAGACCTGCACAAGCGCGGCTGCATGCGGCGAAAAGGAATCCAGGTGGCGTATCTATAGTCTCGAGGGCGCTCAGGTGGACGGCCACTATGAATAGGTCCTTGGAGCAAAACCCGCCGCGACTTTCCCCACGCTCACTCTCTCGAGGGACCGAAACCCTGAAGGCACTCACCGCCAGGCAGTTGTGCTGCGGGTTCCCGACTCGTTGCATTCTGGGATTGAAAAGTGATGTTTGCCAAGGGACAAAGATGCGTCCGGGAGAAGCGAACCAATGCCACTTGGCAAAGATCGAAGATGTTTCTTGAAGGCGATCACATGGAGGCGGGAGTTCTTGTTGCCAGACGGCTGTGACGGAAATCCAAGCAATCCGTGGCGGCCCCCGGCTTGACATAAGTTGACAGCTTCGCGGAGATGAGAGTGAGCAAGACTCTTGCCATGAAGCTTGATGAGTGAAATAATGATATGTATGGTATACACACAGTGGCTCACCAGACCAATCGGGCCCATGCATCGACAGGATCGAAAATCTGCTGAGAGCGGTGATGTTGGGGGTTCTCGCCTCCACTTCCTTGTCGGCGAAGGGAAAAGCAAGGAATAAGCAACAATGCCTTGGGGCTGTTTGCGGGTTGCAGCGGTCTTCCCGTTCGGACGATTTCTCTCGAATCGTCGAAAGCTGGAGTGTTGCTGCTGCTTTCGTCCTCAGGTCTTTCCAAACGGGAGGCGGCTTGCATGCGTACCACAGTATTGTCAACTCCAGTCGAGACTGAGCGAGAAAGTACCCGAATCAGTGGCTGATGTGCTTGTCTTCCCCGCAGGTCTGAGCCCAGGATTTGAACCCAGGTCGTCGGGTTTGTGGTACAAGTACCAGTTCGGATTCATCTAGAACCACATCCAAAACCCTACTGTGCGACGGGAACACAAGCATTGGCTTCGGAAGCGGCTGGATGCATGCGCTAGTCAACGTTTGTGCACGAAAGTGTCCTCCAGCTCGCTGCAGCCATCGACGTCTTCTAGGTCTGGGACTTCGGATCTCATCCCGGAAGCCGGTACCAGGTGAAGGGGTGATTCCTCACGTTGCTGGTGCCGCTCTCCCGACGGGCTCGTCCCAGCCGACTCAGCTTCACCCCACGGAGTTGGGCCGTGGTCCGTGTCGCCAAGGCATGCAAGCACGTAGTTCTGAGCGTCCGAAAAGAAAACAGACGGATAGCTTGAGGGGTCGAATCCGAGCCACATGCTGCGGACCCGACCGACAGCCTTTGCACCAGGCAAGTGCGGCACAAAATCGACTGAACGGGGTCCTTCCGAGAGGGGATCCCAAGCAAAGATCAAGCCATTGTACTGGTCACCTTCGCATCTGACGAGCAGGGTCTCCGGGATGCGAGGATGCCATAGCAGGGTGGCGACGTTTCCGTGAAAGAGGAGCACTGCACGCAGCTCTGCAGCCTGCACATCCCAGATCCAGACGGTACCGGGCGAATCGTCCTGGCGCGTGGCGACGAGGACTGACGAGGGATCAAAGGAAA